AGCAGGAAAAGAAACCAGAACGACTTGAGGAAACAAGATGAATGCCAAGTCCTGACCAGTCCACACTCCTCAGCACCTGCCCAGATTAGACCACAATGGTCGATGATAGCCCACGGCAAAGCAGGGACAGACGGACACGTCTTTGGGAGAGGTGGCAGGAGAGGGTCAGTACCTGAGAAGCCAGTGCCCTTCTCTGTTCTCTTACCGGGTCTCTTTAACCAGAAGCTTCCGAATGAAGTCCTTGGCCAGCTCGCTGGTCTGGCTGAAGAACTCCTCCTCAAAGTTGTAACTCACTGCTGTGATATTTGCCAGTGTTTCCTGCTTTGTGTCTCCCAGAAAAGGGGATGCTCCACTGAGGCTGGGCACACAGAGAGGAAACACATGACTGCGGGAGAGTAGATGAGAGTAGGGGGGACGGACTCAGGGAACCCTGACTCGTACGGCTGCGTGGGCACGGGAGGCTCCCCGCAACCCTGCTGCCCGCTCTGGGGTGGGGGGGCAGCCAGTCAGCAACTCTTCAAATGAGTCCAATTGAATACACTTCATGGAGCTCCTGTGACACAGAGAAGTACCTGTGATAGAGAGAAACCGTGTCTTCAAGGGACTCGAAAGGGGAGGGGAGACAAGTACAGAGACCCGGCTCTTCATAATCTCCAGCAGAGCACAGGATAAAAGAGAAGGCCAGAAAAAGGGCTGTGGGAGCACAGGACAGAGAGGAGGCCCAGAGCAGGCTTCATGGGAGAGCTGACATCTGCATCAGTTGTGTCCTGAAGAATGAAGAGGTTGTCAGCAGTCACAGAAGGAGCTGGGGGCTCTTCTAGGCTAAGGGAGCAGCTTGAGCAAAGCCTGAGAGGTGTGGCAATAGATGGGCCGCTAGGGACTGGAAGGGTGAGTGATGTTCCCCTGCAGGATCTGTGGGGAATGTGTTGTTCAAGTAGTGACTCCTGAATCTACTGTCTCCTGACTCATGTTCCAGATGTGCCATTGTCCCAGAGGTCCCTGTGCCCTACCCTAACCCTCCATGCGCTCCCTGCCTCGATTAATGATGTCACTTCATGAACGTACCCAAGCTAGAAACACTTTGACTCTTCCTCCCATTCCCTCACCATTTCTATTGGTTCCATTTCCTAAATGCCTCTTAAAGGTCATCCCTATCTCCACTGACACTTTCTTGGGATAGTGAAAGCAAGGTACCCTGGAAAAAAATCTGATATTTCAATCCTGGATTTGAATCCCAGCTCTGCCACTCATGTATGAACCTAGGAGAGTTACTCAACCTCTCTGAGCTGCAGTTTCCTCATCTGTAGCCTAAAGAAAATAAAAGTCTCCACCCCACATGACTGTTGTGAATAAGTATATATAAAATGTTGAAGAATAAATATATAGAGACTGTTCCGTGCAATCCTGGCCCATACTAAGAACTCTGGAATTGATGGTCATTATTATTGTCATTGTTAGCACACAAAGAACCCTCTATGACTCCCTGTTTTCTATAGAATCACATCTGAACTCCTGAGCAAGGCATCAGAAGTTGGTCCACACGCTCCATATATTTCACCACACTACCAAGCTCACTGCTCCCTTCCTCTGCTGGGACAGCCCTTCCTTCCCTTTCCACCAGGAGAATTCATCTCATTCCTTCTAGTCCAGTTCAAATCAATCTCTCTCTCTTCTCTGTCTCCCCCTCCCCCTCTCCCATTAAACCTTCTGCAGTCCCAGCAAACCAGTGGCTCTCCCATCTGTGTCTCACAAAGCCATGTTCATACCTAAAGGATAACCTTGGTCCCACTGGGTAAGAGTTCACCGTCCGGTGTCTCCCCCACACACAGGGAGCTCCAGGCAAGCAGGACAGATTCTCCTTCATGTAGTATCCTGAGTGCCTGGCACAGTGCCCGCCATGGAGCAGGCAGTCAATAACCTGTATGGAATTCATGTGTGCCCTGGACACACTGGAATTCCATAGTCTTTTAATATGGAAACCAGAGTTCTGAAGATATCAAGGTGTCAAGAGTCAACATCTGAATATTCTGGCTCTAGTCTGGAACTATACAGCAATGCAACAAATTCTCTCTCTCTGCAAATTCCTCCTTCAAATTCCTCCAGGGCTTTTAAAAAATACTGATGCCTAGACCCCACTCCTAGCGATTCTGATTTCATAGATCTGGAGAGGGGCCTGGGCCACAGTAGATATTGAAAGGTCTGATGTGCAGCCAGGGTTGAGACCCGCTGCTGCAGCTCGGGGGACAGGATGGGCGGGGTGGGGGGTGGCGGGAGGTGTCTACCACATCGCACAGAGCTCCCAGTCCAAGGGGAGCCAGAGGGCTGCTTTACAGGGATGTTGAGAGAGTTGAGTGCTGGTGCCCCATCCTTCATCCCCTCTGGCTGTGGGCTGCCTCTTACCCAGAGTGCCATAAAAATACCACTTTCCAGGAGTGCTGTGAGAGGAAACAGTTGGGAAGTACTGATGAAACGAACACCAAGTAATCAGCCGTGTCCGTGTCTGTGAGCAGTGCCGGGAAGTTTGCACGTCGGCTTATTTAACCTTCACAACACACCCATGGCAGGAAGTTTGTGATTCCTACTTTTCTGATGAGAAAAACAGGCCCAGAGATTAAGTCTCTGCCCCAGGCCATAGAGATGGAAAGTGACAGGTCCGCTACCCAATGCAGGAAATCTCTGCTTAAGCACTTAATACTTCAGTGACAGGAAAGAGAGACTCTGGGGAAAAGGGAAGAGAGAGAATGTGAGAAGAAAAGGGATCTTGAGAAAGGCAGGGGAAAAGGTAGAGAAAGAAGAGGCAGGGTCAGGAAGGCCATGGCAGCTTGAGGGCTGTCCCAAGGCTTCGGAGTGAAAACTGACATTTTCACAGGAAACCTGGGTCTGGGTGAGGCTGAGCGGTGGACCCCTGACCACAGGAGGGATGCAGACACAGTCTGTGCAGGATGGAGGGCTGCAGGCTGCTCTCCTGGGTTCCTGCCCAACCCCAAGCCCAGGATCAAATGTATGAAATGGAGCTGAGAGCACCTAGCCTCAGGTTTGCTGTGTGGCTCTAACACATCTGGTCATGGTGGGCACTCAGGAAACGTCAGTCTGTCTGTCTGCCTGCCCCCTCTCATCCCTCCCGCTCCCCCCTGGATCTGAGCTGGGTCAGAGCCCCGGGATCAGTGATACTCACAGGATGTAGGTGATGACGCCGATGCTCCTGTAAAACAAAGAACCGTCAAGTCAGGGCTGCGTGGCTGTCATCCCAGACCAGCAAGGGACTCCCCACACGGTTCTGAGGTCCCTTTCACGGCAGCCCCTGGATGCCATTTCAAGTCCCACGCCCCTCCCCACTCCACTCTTCAGCAGCAGCCTGAGACTTCTTTGGAGTCATCAAGCTCTGGACGTTGAGTCCAAGGACCCAGGTTCAAGATCAGACTCCTGGGGTTTCCCTGGTGGCGCAGTGGTTGTGAGCCCGCCTGCCGATTCAGGGGACACGGGTTCGTGCCCTGGTCCGGGAAGATCCCACATGCCGCGGAGCGGCTGGGCCCCTGAGCCATGGCCGCTGAGCCTGCGCGTCCGGAGCCTGTGCTCCGCAACGGGAGAGGCCACAACAGTGAGAGGCCCGCGTATCGCAAAAAGAAACAAAAAACAAAAACATCAGACTCCTGCACATGCAGGCTGCGATGATCACCTCTGAGCCTCTTTCTCTTAAAATGAGGATAATGAGAACTACCTCACAGGACCACTGGGAGGATTTTAGAAAACCACGTGAACAAACTGCTTAGCTAACTGTAAAGCGTGGTTCACATGAAATGAGCCCCATCTGTGCAGAGAATCCATCACTGCGGTATCCCCCGGCCCAGCACAGCACCTAGAACATGAGGCTCCCGGTAATCACTTGGCTGACTGGTGGAATGAGCTACCGTCACTATCATCTTTTTCGTGGCTGCAGCAGGCCTCGGGTGAGCCTGCACCTCCAGCCTCACCTCTCCCCTTGTTCTCTGCCTCGGCTGTGTGTTAACTGGCCGCAGGTCCAGCACACCCAGAAGAGCCAGAGGCTCTGAAAGGTCAGTGTGAAGGAAGAGGTTTTCATGGTCAAGGGGGATGTCAGCCAGGGCCAGGGTCTGGGCCACCTGGGCGGCCTGTACAACTTACCACATGTCAGCCTCCAGGCCCAGGGGCTCATAGTTCACAATTTCTGGAGCTGAAAGAAGCCACGTTGAAGAGTCAGCAGGGGTATGAAAATGAGAAGAGAGGATCGTAAGGAATTTGAGGGAATTTGGTGCCAAATGTTTCCATCCTGAACCCTCACTAAGGAAAATCAGAGAGGCAGATGGGGTTAATCTGGCTCTAAGGATTCTGAGGAAGGGAGCTGCCTTTTATCCTGATGGTGAAGAAGACGGGACAAAGGGACTCCTGGAAAAGGAAGAGGAGGGCGGGCAGAGGAAGATGTGGGAGGGGACGATGGGGCCTAGAACAAAGCCTGCTTTAGAACTCTCCGCTGGAAACCAGTCAGGTCAGCGCTGGAAGGCGATGGAGAAGAGAGGCAGAGAGGGAATCCACACTCCTCTGAGTCTGTCTGAAAGAGGGCAAGCCCCTCCTGAGGAGGAGGAGGACATTCTTTTTTTTTTTTTTTTTTTTTTTTAAATTTTTTTTTGGGG